TTCTGTATGCGAAACGAAATATCCTGTATGCAAAACTAAGCTAACTGTATTTAGTATTTATAAAACTGTATTTAACTGTATTTTACAACAGTTTTTCATTTCACATTCAATACCTATGGAACTACAAGAATATTAAAAACTAAACTGTACTCTGTATTGAAGTAAAAATTCCTACGAGAACTATTTTATGTTTTATTTAATATTTTTCTTCAGGAACTACGATTTGGAAAACCATAAAATATTGAATCAATCCCCATGCTGCTATATAAAGCAGCGCAAAATAATATGTTTATGGATCTGCATGTCAAACATAATCCTCATTCACGCAATATGCATGTCAAAACGTTGACTGTCTTAATAAGATAATTCATTTTCACATCAATTCTAGTATTTAAAACCGGGTTTTTAATTTCAATAACGTGTTTTACAAATCGATCCAAATAAACCGGTTTCCAAAACTCGGCCAACCCTAGCCGTGGTCTTATCTTGTTAGGCAATTATTGCCTGCCTGCAAACGCGAACACTGCCTAGTTGCTCAGAGAACACGATGAGCCCAAGCTGAAACTGTTAAGAAAGGTTAGATTCGATCGTACTTGTTATTTATCCGAGGATAATGACACCGTCGTCTCGAACGACCGTTATCCATTGCTCGGTGGGAATTGAACTCTAGAAACGCGAGTCCTTGGCCCAGTGATCCTACCGATGTACTACGTGTGTACACAAGTACGTGCGACAAGTTACACTCGCACGGTTGCATTAAGCGCTACCTAATATATGCAAGTTAATATTTACATTTCAGAAAGGAAGGTTCTCGATGGAAAGGGTGTCTCACGATTGTCTCGCATGTATAGTGATTTACGAAGACGCCAAGAAACTTTATTCTATGCTGATAGTCGTCCATTTTATTGCACACTTGGAAATGTTCTGTTCGTAAAATATGTAATTCCGTTAGACAATACGAACCAATAAATACCAGTCGTTTTGTAACCGCAGCCAGTTTTGGTTGCACGAAACCGACTACTTTGAATGCACTAAATAGTTTTATGCACTTTTGTTCTCATCGATTGCAAAAAATAGAAACTAAGTGGCAAGTTCTTCCTTTCAATAATAATTTTAATCAACTCAAAATAATGTATTAACACTTTTTTAATTCTCTTAAATTTTTAAATATTTTATTGGATCTACTCTCAATTTTGCCATAAATGCATAAAATTCGCAGTCCAATGATCACGATGAGAGAGTGAAAGATGAAGCATTACTTGTTTATTACATTTGGACTATTAGAAAAAATCAAGTAAAAATTCACCAGTTTTCAGTTTTCGATATTGTACAATGTTCGAGTTTATTGTGGCTTGATTATAATCTAATCTACCTCTTGGAACTATGAATTTATGGATGAAAGCGGCAATGTAAACACAATACGTTGAATCTTATTCACTGTTATTATACCGATAAATAAAGTTAAATGTAAACAGGAGCAGACATTTTTCTCAATTTTGTGTTAAATCCAATCATGTAAGATATACAGTGGCCCACAAAATGTTCGTACACCTATTAAAACTGAACCAAATGACTTGAATACTTTTTAGATGATAGAGGAACTAGTCTACTAAACGATGAGTGAAATGCTTTTTTTTTTAAATTTTGCACTATTACTGAGAATGACGAAAAAATAAAAATCTCTCGTGTTTTTAACTTTTTTTATCTGAGCCTCTCTATAACGAAAATTTTAAAAATGTCTTTTGTAAGTCTCGGTAACTTATATGCATGTTGAAAATTTTATCGAAATCGGTTCACATTGTAACGAGTTGCAACAAATTAAAGATCGCAAAAATCGCAGTTTTATCACGATCTTGACCAAAAATTGTAAGAAATCTGCAGTGTTTGAAATCTTTCAACGCCTTTCGATCAAATTTTCAGCAAGCATATAAGTTACCGAAATCTACAAAAGACACTTTTTAAATTTTCATTATAGGCTCAGAAAAAACGTTAATTTTTTCTTTTCATTCCAAATAACAGTAAAATTAAAAAAAGTTTTTTAGCCATCATCTAATAGACTAGTCCCTGTATCATCTAAAAAAATTCAAGTCATTTAGTTTAGTTTTGAAAAATTGATTGCATTTTCAAAGATGTAGGATGTATATCATATTAACCATAAAATTTGATTTTTCTTTAATTTTACGATCGCATAATTTATCACGGTTACCATTCGGGTCAAAGGTATGTAGTATAAACTATGTTTTATTCCTAACTGGTATTTCCAACTAATGTTTATAAATCTTGATGACGTAATAAAATGTAAGTGAAATATCGAGAAGTTGAGATTTCACGGAGATAGGCTTATGTGATAAAATGATAGTGAAAAATGGAAATAAAAGCAATTTTTAAGTTTCTTTTTAATTGGAAATATGTAATATGAACTACTTTTCTGTAATAATATAAAACAAATTCTTTACGTACCTTAACGCGATTATTTGTTATTAAATCAGTTTTGCGAATCATTCGTTGAATTCTGTACGGACACGGAATTATTTAAATTAAGATATCATTTACGAACTTTGTTAATCTTCACTGTACACCTTGCATAAAAATTTCATATGGTACACATAAGGTGTCGTGCACACCAGAAAATTAAAACGGCTGTCACGGTTAAACTACATATTATTTCAGGTCCGAAAAATTAGTAAATATTCTTCAGACGTTCTAAAGTAGAGGTGAACAGCGTTTTTCTTAAAAATATCACTTTTACGTAATAAAAAAAATCCGGAAAGTTCACGCTTCGTAACTTGTTCAATACTTCGAACGCGGCTCGAGTCCGTCCCGACCTTCTGTCAATGCCTCGTGCTGCGGACTCTCCCTCTCTCTCTCGCGCGCGCGCCGTCACCTCTCATTGGCCAGTGTTTTTCGTTAATAACTCGTAAACAAAGCCGCAGATTGCATTTTCGCAAAGGAAAAAGTTACTTAGAATGACCTCAGCTACCTCACATTTCCGTATTGCGAGACATTTTTGGGACACTCTGTGCATTATTATATTTATATTATATGTATATTATACATTTATTATAATATATATAATATACACATATATGTGTATATCATATATTTATTATATTTATATTTATCTTAATATAACACTTTGTGTATTTATGTTTGGCTTTGTCTATTTATTTTTGGCTATTTTGCAAGCTTGCGAAGTTTCTTCAAAATCGTCGTCTGACAATTCTCCAACTATCCCCTACAGTGGATTGTGTCTGTTTAAGTCGACCGTTTCTACTGCTACACGTCCGACGTCCCAGTAGATTGGGTTGTCTGACTTCAGGGTGTGATTCTACAGCGTCAGCAACTGTTGTCAGTATTTAGGAGCAACTCATGACAATAGTTTTGAAATTAAACCATGTCTTTAGCCAACGTAATGAACCGAGACAAATCCAACGAATTTGACGCAATTGAATGGTTTGATACTGTCTAAACATAAAGTACAGTTTCAAGTGTAAAGAAAAATTCACTTTCTTCTAATAATTGTTATAGCATCAATATTTTCAAACATTTAATAAGTAGAATGATTTCATAGATATTCAAATTTTTAACGTTCTGTAATCTAATGATAACAAAGTGAGCTAATTGAGAACGTTAAATATAATTATATATAATTGTTTTAATGCAATCTCTTATGTACAGATATAAAATTCGAAATTTTAGCTATCAGTGAGATTAATCAACCAAACAATATTAGTATTTAGAAGACACTGAGACTCTTGATCGTAGTCTGCGGTAGTTAATAATGAAAACACGATGGTATCTCTGGATAATTACGCGCAATACATATATCTCATGTTCTCCATAGCAAAAATACAGTGGAGACTCCTTTATCCGAACATTTATTTTTACAATATTCTAATTTTATCTATCTTGTCTAATTAACGTACAATTAACATAATCATCTAGCAGAGAATTTGAATGAAATTTCTAGATAATAGAATGTTTTATTATCAGAATATATTACAAAAATAAACCTTCGGATAAGAGAGTCTCTACTTTATCGTATTCATACATAATCTTAACATTGTTTCGCGTAAAATATTAACGCGAGCTATCTGAATTTATTATCATGATCATCGATCGAAGAATATTTTTATTTCCAAATGATTATTCAAATTGAACGATCTCTCGACGGTCAAATCTCTCTGTCTACATAGATATTGAATCATACTTGCGCGAATGCAGTGACTCACACATTATATGACTCACAGTTAACACACCTTTGCGATCTATAATTTTGATGGGTATCGACTCGCGCTTTCATTTCTAAACACAAAATCTCCATCAAAAATTATTCCCAGCCACGGATACCTTTCAAAACCCAAATACATTCTCAACGGCCAAGGAAGTATCAGAAGACTTTCGATTTCCACATAGTAGACCCGCGGCCCGTGTCTCCGATCGAAAATTCCTTCACCAAGAAATTACCATAAATCCCCGTGAAGTGGCGTGCTACCCGTAGCCGGCCGCTTTCACGGACTTTCTTCCGACTCGCTGCGCTCGTTGGATCCATAGATCACCTGGGCCGGCCGATCGGCCGGTTTGGTCGCCAGCGATCGGTCTATAATAGAAAATCGTAGGGAAGCTGCGTACGGGAAAGCGTGGAAGGGATATTCGGCCTCACACGAGGAGGCACGAACAGCTCCGACGGCGTGCCAGGTCCGAGTCCCAACAATCCTCGTATCACTAGTACCCACGGTGTCCACAAGAAGGCACTGTCAATTGAAACCGCGATAGTCAGCGGCGGTGCGTGTGTGTTACAGCTGGTGACGCGAGATCGGCGTACACAACGTCGGCGCGACGCGACGTTCACGTACCGCGAACGCGTGCAGCCGCGCGGCGACTCGATCGTGTGCCGATTTTTCGCGAGGGTTCCGCGGTCCCAAGAACCGACTCCTGTTGGAGGACCATTCGCTAAGACAGGACCGAGGTCCTGGTTCCACGTGGACCTGGTAGCGCGCCCATGTCATCACCTTGCGACACGTCGATGTGACTTCGTTGGAATGCGATCAATCCGGTCGAGGACCTCTCCGATCCGTCAGGTACATGGCTCCGCGACACACGTGATCTCGATCGTTACGACCGGCGATCGAGCGGGGCCGCGACGCAAGCTCGTTACCGGTCCCCCCCGATAATTAACGAAATTCACGGACGACGCCGATTATCGAGTAACACGGTCCGCGCCGCTTCGGCTCGTTCCTGAATGATTCATTGCGCCGACCTGGAGCCCGGCGACTTTCATTCAGCTCGCGCACCTCCGGACTTCACGAAACGATCGGAGAGCATTGGGTTTTTATGGGTCAATGCTCGGCCGGCGCGGCACCGCGACCGATATTCCACGGTGAATCCGTAATGCGTCGGCCGTGCTGTCCATGCAGCTTTATCTCGACGCTCTGCTCGGCTGTGTACGGGCACGCGCTCGCTCGCGCACGGTTGCACGCGTTTCTCGATAGTAGCACCGTCGCGTCCGATAAGAGTAAATTCGTTTTATGGTAATTCAGTTTACCAGCAACAATGTGTCATCGTCATAAGCGATCGTTCGCGCGGTACCCGCGCCCAAGTGTTGCCCGGACAAACAGAAGATAAAAACGGCCTCATTATTTTTATAGCGGTAAACGGACCGGGGAAAGGTCGCGTTCGTTAAAAATGTTGAGCAAACAGCTTCGGCAAATACGAGCGCAGTCGGGAATCCGGATATGCCTCGTGGCGAACCGTTGCAAACGTTTTCGCGCTCTTTTGCACCGATGAAATTGCCGGAAGTTCGCTCAAGTATTCTGCGTGAATTCCTCTTCTTTTTTTTCTCCCTCCTGTCCCTTCCAACTCCCTTCTTCTCTGATTCGTTCTCTCCTCTTCTCTCTCTCTCTCTCTCTCTTTCTTTCTTTCTTTCTCTCTCTTTCTCTGTCACTGTTTCTCTGTCCATCCGTCCCTTCTCTGTGCACCTTCGTTCACGCAGCGTCTCTCTCTGTCGTTAGATCGTCATGCCATCATGAATGCCACGGGCAGCAACAGTGGCGTTAACGGCAACGACAGCAACAACACGGTCCCGAGCAAGACGAGCCTGCACGGCAACGCCGGCCGTCTCCAGAGCGTGATCGGCAAGCAGAGTGGCTGCGTGCGCAAGATGAGCACGATGCCGGAGGAGGAGGATGTGTCGGACGACATGGATCCTGACTCGGCCAGAACAGGACACCAGCACTATCAGCAGCAACATCATCATCACGCGGACGCTGACTCGGACTCGCCGTCCGAGGAAAGGGGTCGTTTGCTGAGCACCACCGAGTCCGGTCGGAAGATCACCATCACCCCGGCCAGCTCGTTGAATCTGCACTGCAACGGGCTGAAAAAGGGCATCCCCAGAAACGACAGCGCCGGCAGCATCCACGAGAAATCGCTCCGGCTACACCAGTACAAATCGGGGGAGCAGGTCGGTCCCCTGGAGACCAGGCTCTACCGGGACAATCCTCAAGGTGTGCTGAAGTTCAGCCGAGGAGTCGACTCGCACGGCGGACGACAGCATCGTTGCTCCAGCGTGAGGTCCGTCAAGTCGAATCCTACCATGGACGAGCACGGGGACCACCATCAGTATCATCCGCCGGCGGCCAGCTGGGCGTCCATTCTGTTCGCCGACGGAAACGGGCAGGCCCACGTGCGGCCGTTTCCCGATTCCATGTCTATACGTTCCCTAGCATCGATCGGCATGGGCTCTTCCGACGGCCGGAAGCTCACGATACGTAGAGTTCCCACTTCGCCGTCGGAGCTGCTTAACATGGTACATCCGCCGCCGTAAGTGAGCCACATTACCTAACGTGCGTGTCTCGACGAGAAGCGTCGGAAGGAGCGGGCTATGAATCATGTCCCGCGGTTCCTCTTCGCCGGGGCCCGCGTCTCCGCGAACCTTTCGTTCAACGTCCTTACCCTCGCGGTAGCTACCGGCTCGTTCCCGGGATACTCAGAATTACGGTTGTCGAACAGAGGAGGAACCGCCGCGACGGATTCAGAGTCCCTGGATCACCGGTTGTGATCCGGATTGATAAGATAGGTGTTATCTTTACCGTTGGCTGCCCTATAATTCAGATGTTGTTCGGTGATAATGGGTAATTGACGAGGCTTGTTAAAGACGATTGATTGTTATCGTTTGCTCTCGCATGCAGCCGAACGCAGCAGGTGGGAGCAACGCGTGCAACGAAATCAACCTGCTTTGTTTCCGCTGGCTTTCGAACAGTGAGCCAACGAGGTATAGAATGTATGCTGACAGGTGACAAAGACTTGCGATTGATGCTGCATTACCGGATGAATAGACCCAGTTGCAGTCTTTCAAAGTAGCTTTGCATCGGAAAACCTATAGATTTCTTTTTGAGTTCGGATAGATATTCGAGCGTCCGCTGGCTTTCGAACAATGAGGGACGGCGCGCACGCAAACGGATGACAAACATTTGCAATTGATGCTGCATTATCGGATAAATCGATCGAAGTGATGTTTTTCAAAGTATCTCTGCATCCCAGAACCCATAGATTCGTTTTCGATTTCGGATAGAAAGATTTGAAATTTGTGTTCATGCGAACGTGTAGTCGGTTATACCGTCCGATCGACTTCGTCGATAACGCGAGCATTGTCCGAGCAATGTAGTACACGGTTTATCTTGTCGATCGTTTTCAACCAACATGACATCTGTCACGCGACACCGGTAGTTCTTGGGCATCTTACAACAAGTTAAAGTACGAACAGCTATTAACTGTCGTAACATGGTTACATCGAGACGTTACGAAATACAGTAAATTCTCTCCGGTCGACGCTCAGATTCTACACAAAAATGGTCAATTCGGGAAGAGGAGATACGATTATTCGAGCCTCGCGGCTCGTTTTTATAGTTGCTGACAATCGCTAACTAATAATGTCCATTTCTGTGTACAATTTGAGCGTCGATTAGGGAGAATTTACTATATCGCAAACATTGAACTTCTCGTTGGCGCTCACATTTTATCAACACTTCACGTACTCGAGATAAGATTAAGCAATGTCCCATTAAGGATCAATGTCGTTGCAAAATTTCTTTGAAAAAGAGTCTGGCACTAATGCCGCAAGATATGAATTCTTTATTCGATAGGGGCGCGTTGCACGAACGATCGATTGCGTCGAAACTGTTGACCAATTACATAATCATCATAGCTGTCAAATACTCATGTTAACATCAACATCTCGAAACATAATCGAGCCGGATAGTTGCGTGAAGGTTTTCACGTCCACCATATGTTCCACAATGCTGTCTAACGCGGAAAGCAAACAAGAGGAGAGCGCGAAATAGCTCCTTCCATCAGCAGATCGCATAAAAATAAGGCCTCCGACAGTTTTCTTTCAGTTCGTTCTTGAAATGCGACTCGGAATAGTTCGCGATGATGAAATCACGGATATTTCCGTGTCCGGATTAGTTCTTTCCGATATTAAATTACGCGCCGCTAGAGTTCAAATAAATTCGAGCGAGCATCGTCTCCGGCGAAATTGAGGAACACGAGCTCCCTCGACTCGATAACAATCGTTTAAAACTCGACGACCGACGAAATCCGGCTGTTAGGCCAGTCTAAGTCGCGATTTGGGTGACAAGAGATGCCGTGTACGTCCAAACTGCTTGTGAAGCGTGGTCTCGTCATCCAGGGTCTGCAATTTCAGCGTATTGTCCCAGAGACGTAAGTGGATAATAGGTGTACAATGTAAGACCATACTTTTGTTATAAGTAGGTGTTCACGCGGTACATTGTTGTAGCCGTCCCGCTTCTTCCATTGAAATCGGAGTGGACCGTTTAAAGGACCGTAATCATTGCTCCACATCCGAAGTTTCTATGCGGCGCTTTAGTGAATTCTATTTAGAACCGCTCGTTTAATTACCTGCCTCGATTGCTTCACCTTCGCAAGGTCATCTGCGGAACAATTCATCGCGGTGTTATCATTAGACTGCGGATCTCGACGTGAAATTAGAATTTCCGGGCGCGATTCGAAGAAACAAGAGTTTAACACAGAAATTGAACTGTTCCTTTTAGAATCAAACGAAAGAAGTAACAGAATTCTAAAATTCTTCTGATAGTTTTATGCAGTGCCAGACGAAAGTATTCGAACACTTTTTAAAACAGAATAATTTTTTAAAAACTCGACTAAACGAATGAATTTCTTTTAGTTAATAGAAAGACTTGTCTACCAAAAAATGTTTAAAATACGGTCACTTTTGTTTCTATGTGTATTTTTTACACGGTTTCGATTTAACACGGTTTAGAAAAATAAACTCAATTTCCTGTTTGCACGATTTCATTCGATTTAGCGCGGATAAAAAATTAAAATTTTAAACACAATTATTTCCATTAATTGTAATTTTCTAGATATATTTAGGACAGTACTATTTTTCTATGGATGTTTCTCTCATGGTTTTTTTTGAACGTTTAAACCGTGTAAAAAGAGAATTTGGTGTACTTCTTTTTACTTTTGCTATTTCTTGGAAAGCTCTTATTTTTTAACTGTTTTATTTGAGTTTCATCCGTAACAAAAATTTAAAAAATGTAGCTGGACTCCGCGTTAACCAATTTCGAAAAAGTTTCCAGTATACATGTTATCGAGATGTACAAATCGCATTTTTCAAATTTTCATTATAGGCTCAAATAAAAAAGTTAAAAATGTTTTTTTATTTGATTGCCAATGCATGAAATTCTAGCAGACTAGTCCTTCTATCATCTAAACGCAAATTCAGTTCGATTTAATCCAGTTTAAAAAAATTTATTGATTTTTAAGAGGTGCACGAACACTTTTGCCCGGTACTGTATTTTACATATTTATCGTAATGCATTCAGCAGTCTGTTTATAACATTCATCGTGTAGTTACAGTTTAGCGCATCTTGTACGGTTTTGTAATGAGAACTTCATTTTTACAGAATTTTAGATTGGAAATATGACAACTTTGCTGCAGGAAATACGCCTTCTAAATTTACCCTGAGGTACTTATCTACTTTCATGCTGCGAAGAAAGTTTGCATGCATTCTTCGAAATTTCGTGAAACTTCCTGAACGGTTTACTGAATTCTTTTCGTCAAGAATCGTAAAATTATTCTCCTTCAAGACGGATATGTAATATTTGCATATTCAGAGAATTGTTTTTTTTTTAAAGAATCACAACGATATATATATATATATATGAATGATATATTATCAAATTATATATTTATCATCTATTACTATCAAACTGATCTCTGTTGAATATAGAGGCATGTAATCAGTACACTTTCAGAATAATATAAACCACAGCAGTTAACGCAACACTTAGTATACTATATCATTACCAAATGACATGCCAGACGATAATTGAAGGCATAAACCAAAATAATTAAAGTAATGATGACCGTATTTAAGAAAAAGAATATCTCCCATAAATTCCCACAATTTTTCTGTCTCTATAATTTTTCTCACGCCGTTTGTTTGTCGCATGTGACATAAATAATTGCACAAAAGTGTTAGCCTTGTGCCTTCAATTATAAATTGATCGCCTGCCGTCAGCAAAACACAAACATAAGACGCAAACAGCTGATCCAGTTCATCATCGAATCCGTCGAGCTAGTTAAGCTTGCTCGTCGAAAACTAGGACGAGAGACGTTTAGCCTATTCAGAAACTGATTTTTAAACGGAAACTACAGAGCTGCATAGATGTTCTATCTCTCACCGAAATTTAGTCGGCGATAACGCATAGGCAGTGTAATAACTTACTATTGTTGTTCGACCGCACGCGCGACCATTACGCATTGTTTTCGTATTGTGAAATATCCAGGAATTTCCACAGGTGCGCCGTATTTATTATCCGGCTTTGTCAATTGCCATAACTCTCGCCGTCATAGCGCGACATCGTTTTTACATCTGCCGTGTCGCAAAACCGCGGGCTCGCTATAAACTCGTAAAAATTCTTCTTCATTCCCCGGCCTGTTCTATAATGGTGAGTGTCAAGGTCCTTCGTTTGTGCACTCAGTCCTGCGATCGTTAATCATAATAAGGGCGTCTTGCTGGCTCGATCTCCTTTTCCCGCCGCTAACGTTTATCAGACGCGCGGACGGGCCCGCGATAAATTCTTCACGTCCTCTTAACAATTTCAATAAATCACCGGAGAGATAAGCTTTCGGTTGATTTCGGGATCCTCGGCTCCTGTGAAAAACCGTGATCAAAGGTAACTAGGGCTCGCCGTTGATTTCGCAAGTGATACCGCGCCCCCGAAAGAAAAATTCCCGCGAGTCGCCCGGCGATGGAAAGCGACGCTTCTCGCCTCTACTCTCGACGGAGGGATTTGCATAACGCGCTGCAGAGAGATATTCTGATCGGCACGTTTGATAGAAGGCTTGTCACTTCACGGATCGACGGGCAATACGTGCATCCAGTGCTCGATAAATATGCAATCACTTGCATAATGTTGTTCATCATATGTCGCATGGTAATCGCGCGCTCCTTAAATATTGGCTCGTCCCAAATGTAACGCGGACTTATCGAGGTGTCAGGTTCGAAGATCTGGTCACGATTCTCACTCCCCTGTTTAGTCCACTGATCTCAGGAATTTCAGACGAAAATCGAATTACCCTTGTAAATGTCCAAATGTTGAAATGGATTTGCGCAATATAAAACTTGTAATTGAAGTTTGAAACATTGTTTAAAGTTAGTCGCTGTCGTCTGATTCAGTATTATCTGTTTCGGTATTCTTACCGATCAGCAAATCATCAAAAATTCTTTATCCAAGCGAATTTCTTTCTTCATCTGTACGGACTAAGATTATTTTATGGCCCAATCTCTGCGCCGGTCCCAATTTCCATAATCCCGGATTAAAGACGTACAGAAAAAAAAGTTTTACATATAAATTCAGTTAGTCTTACATGTTAATAGGTAAACATAATAAAAAAATATAGATCATCAGTTTATATATAAAACTTTTCTTTTTCTATACGTTTTTAATGTAGGGTCCCGAAAACTGGGACGTCTGTCCTACATACTGCTCGATTTCAGGAGCATCCATACTGCCTTTCTTTGAAATCATTTTTCGATGCATTTTTCGAATATCTCTAACAACAGGTGAATCACTCCTGATATAAAACAGTCAGAAGTACAGAATTTTGTGTTGTTTTCTTCTAGACAAATTTGTTGAGAGACAATAAATTTCTTAATTGTAAACTATAATTATACGTGCTTTCGTTCAAATTCTCCATATTTAAGATATAACAAACGCTATTTAACACTCGTCAACAAATGACAATGTATACTTAACAGATATGTTAATGTTCTAATAATTAAGTTGTAAGATATATTCTGTTGCAACTAATCCTCTATCGATTTTTACGAGAATTAACGTCCACATTTATATGATTTACATGTCCATTGATAACATTGCTAAGCAATTAGTTCAAAATCGAACAACAATTTCTTGATTTTTGTCCACAGCAGCCCGCACTGAGGTTGAACACTATAGTTCTAACTGTAGAACTTTCCATATTTTATAACAAGTTATGAAATTGATCAGAAGGATTTAACTTGCTTCTTTTATTCAATCCGTTTAGAAAAATGTTCATTTCTATGGTTTAGTTACTTGGCTGCAGATTTTACGCATGTATGACAAAAATAAATACGTCAAATGGAGAACAGTAAAAGTATAATATTTAATGAATTTAAAGATATTGCTGCATTCTTTTTAATTTCTTAAAATTGTTACAAGAAGGAATACATCTTCATTTATCTCTTGTTTCTTATAGTTAACTTATATAATTTTTACTTTGCATAAGGATCCGCAGTCAAGTTATTACTAAAGTTTGAAATAATTGAATTTGATTTATTTTGTGTCCCTGTCAGTGGATGTTTATTTCCATCCAATATACAGATCAGGGTATATTATATTTATTATACGATCCAGTATGTAAACCACATTCAGTCACATACTTCATAACATTGTTCTATATTTATACAACATAAACAAATATCAATGTTAATGCTCTTTTGTTTGTATATATTTTCACTAAACGAGATGTGAAAATTTCTGCATTTACGTATCAAATGAATGTATGCATACGTCGCCTTCGCAAGCATAATATACAAAATAAAGTAGAAAAAATGTAGATTTACATTATACACAAAAAACATAGAGTAGTAATCTAACGCTTCACCAACTTATCTATTTTGCTAATAACGAAAGATTACGGATCCAAATTGAGCTGCTAGTGAACGATAGTTCATAACGTTAAACCACTAGTATCTATCAAAGCTATAATATTTCTGGTCTCTAAACTTAATCTGATATTAACTTAAAAAATTTAGGTTAAACAATTTGAGCTTATACCTCAGAGAATAAATATTTAAATGTTAGAAAGCTTATTTTGTTATGGCGTTACGCGTTTCGCGCGAGCGCATGTGTTCGTAGTTAAATTGTGATCACATTAACGATCAAAGGTGACCTAAATCGATCTGATTTCAGATCATTCGAGGATGACCTGTCCGTGTGTACCAGCCTCGACGACGCAGATGCCGAGGACCCAGGGGACTACAGACAACCGAGGCGACCGCACTGGGCCAACAAAGTGCAATTTGTCCTTGCTTGCATCGGTTACTCTGTTGGCCTCGGTAATGTTTGGAGGTTTCCTTATCTATGCTACAAAAGTGGTGGTGGTAAGTATCCATGTGTATCTTTACCAGTAGTATTATTCTTACGCTTCGAGGTCCACTGCTTTTCCGATTTATCATTTCAGAATCTCCATTGCTTTGTTTCATCCACACCATTTATCAGTAATTTGATATCTTGCTGGTTGTTTCGCCCAAAATGATTCGGCCAGTTCTCCAGTTGTCATAGTGCAATACATGTTTCAATAAACTGATTCTTCATTCGAAATTTAATGATTTTTGAATCCAAAGATTAAAATGTGGACATAGAAATTGATAATTAAATTGTAAAATAATTGAAAGATTATAAAATTCAAAGTCATTTAAATGTCATTGGATTATACTGTTGTATAATATGTTTGATCTAATGTGCATCGAGAGAATATGTATATGTGAAAGAGTATGAGTATATGTGAAAAGTTATGGACGATTTGGAAAAGAAAATTAAAAGATAACATTTATTAAAAAACGCCACTTTTGATTGATTCGTTATTTCTTCTTTTATGTCGTATCGTGACAGCTGGAGAAAGTAATTAGCTGGTCTGTTTTAGATGAAACACTCTACAATATGTTACACTAATTTATGACTGATACATAATATATAATAGTATTATATGGTTTGGCAGAATTCTGTACGACTCAAAATGAAATTTCATCTGTTTACAATGTCATTTTCACTAAATAAATTAATGTCACATCACTTGTTTTAAGAAAGACATAATAAAATGTTGTTTTTTATTCAATGATGCAAAGCGTTAAATGCAGCGGACAAATTTACCAATATTGTTACATTATTTCCATTTAAAATTGCTAATACTGAAAATAAATTTTTGTTTTATTCTTACCTGTTCCAATCGAGACAGAGAATTTTTATTTTGCATAAAGAACCGCAGTCTGACAAGAAGTTTTCGTTATCACTAAAAATGTTATCATATCAACAGCATTGATCTTTTTAAACTGCATAAGACAGGGTTTTACAACCTGTGTGCAAGTAGTATGACAGTTATTGTGTGAAGATAATCTTCGGTAAACTTACATAGATGTGTCACATAATTGCTAAGCGCGACGGTGTGGATATCGCGGTCTTATCGTGGTCTGGAATCAAATTGATAACAACAAAAACAGATGTATGCGGATTTCACTTTCAATCAGCAATTTCTCGGCAGTTAGAAAGACGCTGTGTTCATATTACGAGTCGTTCACGTAACAACGCATCAAACAAATGTTTACGAGACAAATTTGTACGTGCTAGATACGATGCTGACACGCTTGTGTTTGCTATGATTAGTGTGTCCACGATAAGGAGGACGCATTCGTTCTTTGCATCGTAACTGATTACTACAAGAAAATACTGTTCTGGATAGGGTGTTACGTCGCTCAAAGAATGACACGCACACATTGACACAATATTTACTGTTCCGTAAAAAGTTTTATGTAGCATCGCGATGCTGCAGAGTGCCATCTAAGTACGTTAGAATTTCAAGGAAAACATTGCTGTAATAAAACCTGTTCCACTGTCGGAACACATTAATACTTCCGCAGAATGTTCAGTTTTTTCTTCAAATCACGAGAACGATAATCACAGTGTTGTAACATAAAAGCGAAACTCGAATATTTCGTTGAACGATTCGTAAATGTAGAAATAACAAGGTTGCCATGAAATTGATTGTGCTTACGATTGGACATGCTTTTTGTTGTGACACGCGACAATTGCGTCATTGTCAATGATTTTAAGATGCTAAGTCTGTGCGGTAGTACAAGTAACAGTATCGTGGGACACCATCTAATCATTTCTGTGATGAATATTACGCATTTCCACCTTGATACACTTACTACGCACTTGTGGATATGAGGCCTCGAGTTCTGTATTTTTTAAAGATACAAACCTCGAGATACATTGAATTTCTTGGTGAAAAATTTAAGTAACTACGATTTGAATGGAAATGTTAAACTAAATGCAGTATTAATAAAACAACAAATATTCGTATTCTTTTGCCAAATATAAAAGAATGCACTGTCAGCTGCTGTAGAAAAATGATTGAGACAATTCAAGTAGCACGATATAACAATACTTTCTAATACTTCAAATGAGATCGAAATGGCGACAAAGATTGCCGAAAAATGTCCTCAATGAGCAGACATGTTCAATTTTAAACCAACATTTTCTTTACTTGCCATTTAACCCGAGAAAGATAACCTACGTCGCAGAGGCGCCTGCGAAGACTGTTGATTTTTGTTAATTTTTCATAGAGGTCTAGTGATTTAAGTTTAAAATTACTTAAAATATAAAACAATATAATATAAATGCATTTTATTTTTACAATAATGCCAAACCTTTAAAATGACTAGATTAACTTAAATAAATATCCATTGTTAGTATAAAATTGACGCCTTAGAAAAGCATGCGCCTCTGAAGCGTATGGTTACCTTTTACGTACGTTGTCATATGGTTATCTTTCTAGGGTTAATGTAATACATTCTGCAAGAGACAGTAATTATCTGTTTATTAAGTCAAATCTTTTTATATAATTTTTCAGCAAAATATATTTCTTGAACATGCTCAAACAAACTATAAATAGCGTTCGGTTTTTATTTGTGGAAGCAGGAATGGCCTATCACTTTTCAGTTCTTAACATCGTTTTAATTACCAAACCCATTACTACGTTTAAAAAATGCAAGAAATTCGTTTGCATCGTTAATAAAAATCACAGACAGGAAGTTAAGAATTAACACGCATAGCTCATCGACTCGCATTACTTAGCAATCTTTGAATTTTTCTTCTAGCTTGAGGCTAGAATTTTTTAATAACAATATAAAGAATATAACGCGTTCCGATAGAGAGTCTCTATGAAAATATCGAACCACAGAAGCGTGTTCTCATAATTTCTATACGGTATGCATATCGCGTTTCAAGCGTCGCATCCCCTTTGTACGACATCCTCGAAAATATATTCAGCGCAAGGGCAGACGTTCTCTCGATTCGCCAAGCCGTAATACAAGTGCGTATCGTGTTGCCGCTAATTTTCAAAGTCTGAAAGCATCTCGGCGGAGAGTCCGGACGTGGCGCAATCTGCTCGCGGAACTTGATACATGACCTTGCCGGAACGTAGCACTACACCAGCGAGCATCGTAAATGATTTCAATGACACCGGTGGAAATAATCGGTCGAGTATCATTTTGACCAACTGTTCGTTAAATTGGACAACCGGAAAACTAGAGCGGCTCCGCACGGTGTGATTACACCCGTCATGGACCAACGCACTCTTTTGAATAACAAAGTAGCAACAAATGACAGATAATCGTCTCATAACGCTGCGCACGCTNGACTGTTGATTTTTGTTAATTTTTCATAGAGGTCTAGTGATTTAAGTTTAAAATTACTTAAAATATAAAACAATATAATATAAATGCATTTTATTTTTACAATAATGCCAAACCTTTAAAATGACTAGATTAACTTAAATAAATATCCATTGTTAGTATAAAATTGACGCCTTAGAAAAGCATGCGCCTCTGAAGCGTATGGTTACCTTTTACGTACGTTGTCATATGGTTATCTTTCTAGGGTTAATGTAATACATTCTGCAAGAGACAGTAATTATCTGTTTATTAAGTCAAATCTTTTTATATAATTTTTCAGCAAAATATATTTCTTGAACATGCTCAAACAAACTATAAATAGCGTTCGGTTTTTATTTGTGGAAGCAGGAATGGCCTATCACTTTTCAGTTCTTAACATCGTTTTAATTACCAAACCCATTACTACGTTTAAAAAATGCAAGAAATTCGTTTGCATCGTTAATAAAAATCACAGACAGGAAGTTAAGAATTAACACGCATAGCTCATCGACTCGCATTACTTAGCAATCTTTGAATTTTTCTTCTAGCTTGAGGCTAGAATTTTTTAATAACAATATAAAGAATATAACGCGTTCCGATAGAGAGTCTCTATGAAAATATCGAACCACAGAAGCGTGTTCTCATAATTTCTATACGGTATGCATATCGCGTTTCAAGCGTCGCATCCCCTTTGTACGACATCCTCGAAAATATATTCAGCGCAAGGGCAGACGTTCTCTCGATTCGCCAAGCCGTAATACAAGTGCGTATCGTGTTGCCGCTAATTTTCAAAGTCTGAAAGCATCTCGGCGGAGAGTCCGGACGTGGCGCAATCTGCTCGCGGAACTTGATACATGACCTTGCCGGAACGTAGCACTACACCAGCGAGCATCGTAAATGATTTCAATGACACCGGTGGAAATAATCGGTCGAGTATCATTTTGACCAACTGTTCGTTAAATTGGACAACCGGAAAACTAGAGCGGCTCCGCACGGTGTGATTACACCCGTCATGGACCAACGCACTCTTTTGAATAACAAAGTAGCAACAAATGACAGATAATCGTCTCATAACGCTGCGCACGCTATTCGAGTATCAGTTAAAAACGCGTTAGTGTAATTGAACTCCGAGGTGAAAGGAATTTATCGTTTGACGCAGAAATTAAGAAAATAACTGCGACCCGCGTGGCGTGCTTTTTGAAAAGAGAGTCTCTCGATCTTTACAATCGAAGCATCGACTTTCTAGAGCGTTTTGTGTGATAAGAATTTGCATTAATCGCCGGAGTTGTTTTTATGTAAATAAATTATTTTTATATAACTAGACTGCGGATTTTATGCATTTATGAGAAAAATAGTAACGTGAAGTACGAAATAGGAAGAACATGAGAGAAATAAAAGAACAACGGGCATATTACTTTAAATAATTAGAGCTATTGCGAGTAGAGATACATTTTTAGTCGACTCTGTTTTCTTGAAATCGATGGAGACAATTTTTAATTTACATAAAGATCTGCAGCCTAGGTATAACACGTAAACGTACGATATTTGAATGACAGGAAATCGATATGCAAAAAGACGGACGTTTTCGTTTCATGAAATCTTAAAAACAATTAACTGTAAACATGGAGTACTTTCTTCAGATCGCGCTCACAATACACGGAATGCATATT